GGATATAGACCCTCAATAAGGTCCCTTTTAAGAGAGCCAAAAGTAGGGTTCAGAAGGGGTGCCCTTTAAGGGGTACCCCTAATAATACTACCTAGCTTATGCCCTTATGGCTGCAAACGCTCGATTTGTATCCCTAAACCCCTAAACCATGTCCGACACCCGAAACCCCAAATTGGGAGCTAGGATTAGGGGGACCCTTGTGGATATAGACCCTCTCAATAAGGTCCCTTTTAAGAGAGCCAAAACTAGGGTTCAGAAGGGGTACCCCTAATAATACTACTTACAAGTAAGCCCAGAACCCTAAACCCCTCGACCATAAAGGCGAGAGACCCCAAACACAAACCCTTTCAAAGTCCTCACGCTTAGGGTTTAGGGTTTAGGGTTTAGGGTTTAGGGTTTAGGGTTCAGGGATGAAAACCACACCACCCGGGTACAGCTCTTGTGAAGCCCTCACCATAAGCCGTCTCAATACTGGGTTTAGGGTTTAGCGGCCGGAACAATTAGAACAGGTTTGCGGGGTATATTCTGCTAAAACAAGAAACCCCGAGGAATGAGATTGCTAATTATTCAGGCTTCTATCCTGAAGCTCTAAAACCCTTAAATGCCCAAACCCTGAACCCTTTTTTGGTAGAACCCATAGAACCCCTAAAGGAACCCTCAAAAGAACCGTTAAAGGAATTCTTATAGCCCCATATCCTCTAAGCCCTAAACCCTATATCCCCTAAACCCTAAACGCTATATCCCCTAAACCCTAAACCCTAAACCCTAAACCCTCTCTGGGCCTCGGCGGGATGCTTCGTAGACCGCCGTGTGGCCGGAACTACTGGCCGTGTCCACCGCAGCCCGAGCTTCTAACAGCAAGCGGACGACTTCCTTGCGGATTGGGGGGTGTTTGTGCCTGTCTAAACCCTAAACCCTAAACCCTGAACCCTAAACCCTAAGTTTGTTTTGGCGCGTCCATTTGCCGATGTTCTGGTCTTGTTGATAGGCGTTAGGCTCATTAGGACTTAGGGTTCCGCTTGCATGTTTTATGTATCCGGGCGTGGGGGTTAGGGTCTGTGCTTTGGGGATCAGGGCTTATACCCTAAACCCTAAATATGTGGGGTTTGGGGTTTAGGGTTCAGGGTTGGAGGTTCATTGGTAGTTATAAGTGGAGTTATAAGTCCCCTAATATAAGTTGTAACTATGGTTACCCAACTTATAACACTACTTATAACTACCCATGAACCTCCAAGTAAGCCCTAAACCCTAAACCCTAAACCCTTACAAAGTTCATCCCAGACGCCAGGTTTTGTTTTAAGTTTCAACTCTCTGGTCTTCGACGATTCTCTGAGGGCTGAGGGTTTAATAAAAGGGGGCCTTAATAATCACCTCTACTAATTTTGTGGGCTTCCTTACTACATTTATAGTATAATATACCCCAAAACCCTATTCTGCATTACTGGGTTGGCCTTCAAAAACCCTCTGAAAAAATTATGTATATAAAGAGTCCCTTATAAACCAAGTAAGGAAAATAAAAGATGTCCCAAAACCTAAACCTAAACCCTACCCTATCCTAGCTTATTCAAAGCTCTGAGGGCTCCCTAAACCCTAAACCCTAAACCCTTGTTGGACGCAGGGGATTTTCTCCCTGAGGTTTCGAAGTTTAAAGCTTCTCCCCGGGCTGGTTTAGGGTTTAGGGGCTTAGGGTTTAGGGTTTAGGGTTTAGGGGTTAGGGGGGGTTTAGGGTCTAGGGTTCAAGGTTTTAGGGTTTAGGGTTTTAGGGCTTAGGGCTTAGAGCTTAGGGTTTAGGGTTCAGGTTTAGGGTTCTGAAAGGGGTAAGCGGATTCGGGATCACAGGGATTGGCGCTTGGGGTTCATCGAGTTCTTCGAAAGACTTGGAGTTTTTCGTACGAGTATGTGTTACCCGAGGGTTCAGGGTTCATTCGAGGTGTTCGACTTTAGGCTTCAAGTGCATTAAGGTCTTGGCACATCATTAAAAAGTAGATCGGAATCTAAAGCCGGTGCCGAAAAAAGCCCAGCATCCAGGTGGCCGAGCGCAGATGCTACGATCATCGCCGTGGTGCTTTCTGCGAATAGTGAGTCGTCGAAGGCACCTTTGCCAAGACGCCGACCCTTGCTTTAGGGAGGGTCGCTCTTCCTTGCGACTCAATCAAAGTTGCTTAACGAGAACCCGGTTTGCCTAAACCCTAAACCCTAAGCCCTACCTTTGTCGGGATGGACCAGATTCTGGTGAGCTCCAGCGGCAAGGAGAGCCTTCACGACGTTCACTTCCCCGGCCACAGATGCGACAAAGAGAGCCGTAAACCCTCTCGGGTCAACCGCATCCTTGTCCACCCCAGCATCCAATAAGAGGCTGACAACCTCGAGGTGACCTCACTTGTCCCAAACACACGGTCACCCGTGAGAGATGAGCTAGGTAGGCTTCAGCACATAAGGTGAGAACCGAGCCAAACTTACCTACATGGCAGAGTGCTTCGTATACTGACCTCCAATACCCTAGACCCTACACCCCCATCTCTAAACCCTAAACCCGAAACCCTAAACCCTAAAACACCCCAAACCTTAAGCCCTAAACCGGAAACCCTAAACGCTAAACCCCAAAACCTAAGCCCAAACCCGAAGCCCTAGACCCTAAGCCCTAAACCCCAAACCCTAAACCCGAAGCCCTATACCCTAAACCCATCATCTTCAGCAACCCCCATGGAGAAAACCGGACACAAACGAGGTAAGGTTGCCGGGACCTACGCAGTGACCCCCAAAAATCCTTGAGGCATTTAGTGTACCTTGGGGTTTAGGGTTTAGGGATAGCACTGTTTGAAGATCCTCAATAAGCTGTAAGGGTACATTCCTTACTGGTGTGGTGTGCGCTTCCTTGGTTTGGGCTTGTCATGAGAAGTGACCTGGGTTGGCCTTTAAACCCTCTGAAGATATGTATATAAAGGGCACCTTATAAACCCAAATCAGGAAAATGAAACCTGTCCCAAAAACCAGCCTAGTGACCTTCAAAAGATGCGGCCCGAAACCTAAACCCTAAAGCGTTTTGGGCTTGTCATGAGAAGTGACCTTCAAAAGATGCGGCGGTCAGAGGTGTGCCAAAGTCCCAACATGCGGCTTGATGATCCGCTCCACACTCCAAGAGCAAGCGCACCACCTCCTCCGTCTTGGTCTAGGCTTTAGGGTTTAAGGCTTGGGGCTTAGGTCTTGGTTTCAAGGTGTTTGGGATTGCAGAGTTTCGGGCATCGTTTAGGCTCTAGAGCTTATAGATACTATTTGGGGGCCTCTCCTTTTCTGTCACAAACTCCTTGTTCGTAGAAGGGTTGTGTAGCGGCCATAACCTCTGAACCCGAGCTGCATTTTGGATCCTACTCTTTCGCGTGCAGGCGCAGAACCAGACCGATCGTGAAGCAAAAACACCCAGGATTCGCATTGGCGGATAAGCTCGTAAGAAAGCCAGTAGAAAGACCCAACAAGGCTTACATTGCTTTTTTGCAGGTATAATAGAACAGTCTCTGTGAGAAGATATGAGTCCTTGTGGCCCTTCTCACATGCTGCGAGGAGTGGGGTGCGAGAGTTTCCAAGATGGTGGTAGGGAGCATCTTTGTCGGCGCGTGCTTCCAAGAGGAGGCTCACGACCGCTGCGTGGCCATCGCAAGAGGCTTGGTACAAGGCTCGCGCTTGGCGCCTTGGTGGTATCAGATCCGGATCCTGCGGTAGGAGCAGATGCTGCTCCACCTCCGAAAACTCCCCTTTCCGCGCAGCCTCTACAAAATGATCGATCTTCTCAGGTGTGGCCTCCACAAAGGGCAGCAAAATCAGCTGCACGGAGAAGGGTGTCGCCAAGCGAAAACAGCACGTCTCATCATCCAACACTGCCCCGTCATGCAGAATCCGCTGCTGAAATCTCGGTGGCAGCCCGTGTGCACTGCACAAATACCGTTTTAGATGTCTCACAGTGCAGGAATCGTCCCTGACCACTTCCTTCAAAGGCACGACAGCCACCTCATCCCCTGACAGCAAATGCACAGGCAACATCATCGACCTTTCTTCCCAGAGATGCCCAAACAAGGACGCAGTCAAAACATGGCCTCCAGTCTTGACTAAAAAGCTAAACACTAGGGTTTAGGGTTTAGGGTTTAGGGTTTAGGGTTAAGGGTTTAGTGCTAAAAACCCTGGATCATAAATCCTGCACCCCCAAAACCCAGAACCGTCGATGCCGGCACAACCCCTTGTGTTCCCTGTGCGTTCCAGTGCCGTAAGCAAATGCAGGCCTCCGTAGCTGGGGCCGCGAAAGCCCCACCATATCGGTAAATGGACCTCGAAAGTAGCCCGCACTTTACGTAAACCCGTGAACCCATAAACCCTACCTGTAACCGAAACGACCTACCTTTTTAGGGCTCCTTATATGATTTGTTTAAAAAGGTCCTTAACAGGCTAGGTTCTTTGGGGTCCAGATAAACCCGAGACGCAAACTCTAAACCCATAGCCCTAAACCCCAAACCCTAAACCCTAAACCCCAAAAGATCGGAAACCCACCGTCGACGTGACTGCTGATCACAAAAGGGCCGACGGCGATCACATTGAGGATCTGGGGTTTAGGGTCTAGGGTTTAGGGTTTAGTGGTTTAGGGTTTAGTGTTTCGGCTTTAGCGTTTAGGTTCAGGGTTTCGGGTTTAGGGTTTAGGATTTAGCGTTTAGGGTTTCGGGTTTAGGGTTTAGGGTTTCGGATTTAGGGTTTGGGGTGGTTGTCCAAATTAGGATCCTCTGTCAGGTTCCAAAACCATAAGGTTTAGGGTTTAGGGTTTAGGGGTCCCAAACTATAGGGTGCCATATTCAACATCAAAAATATATTATGGGTAAGACCCCAAAACAGTACGGCACCCTTACAAAAAGGACGCCAAAAAAAGGACAATGTAGAGAACTGCCCGTGTATGATTCCCCAAAACGCTGTGGCGTAGAATGAAAGCGGGTCAGATTAAAGTACGGCTTTGGGGTTGAAGGAAGCTTACAAGGAAGATGGCTCAGGCTTCTAAACCCTAAACCCTAAACCCTAAACCCCAAACCCTAAACCCTAAAGGTTCCAGGGCTTCTAAGGGTTCTAAGGATTTATTGCAGATACTTTTCGGGTGTTTTATAGGATCTGCTTGAAGTTTTCTTGGGAGCTGCTGTGATTTAGGGCAAAGTGTGCGGTCCCGGGGTCCGACATTTAGGGTTCGGATTTTAGTGTTCAGGGTTTAGATTTTAGTGTGGTTGAGGGTTTTTTGTTAAAGGGTTTCGGGTTTAGGGTATTTTTAAGGGTTTACTTAGGGTTTAGGGTTTAGGATTTCCAAGCACGGTTTAAAGTTCTGGACGGGAACCGTAACGGCCGCAACACAACGTAGAAATCGCGGGAGATATGCTGCGTTTCCTTATCTTGAGTTTGGGGTATTGGGGTATAACAACATGATTGTATAGGGCTTACAGATAAGATAAGGATCTTGAGGTTAGGGTTTAGGGTTTAGGGTTTAGGGTTTAGGGTTTAGGGTTTAGGGTTTAGGGTTTAGGGTTAGGGTTTCAGGGCCTTGGGTTTGGGCTTGGGGCTGTAATGGTTTCAGGCTCTTCGCTTTCAACTTGAGAAGTTACGCTGCGACTTTAGGGTTGAATTTGCTGGGAAAGGACCTCGTCTGGAATTCCGGAAACGAGGTTTCAGGGGTTAGGAGTTTAAGGATTAGGGTTTAGGGTTTAGGGTTTAGGGTTTAGGGTTTAGGGTTTAGGGCTTAGGGTTAGGGTTGATTGGGAATGAGCCACAAGGCTTCGTATTGCAATGTGGAGGTCTGGGTTGACCCTGGCAAAAGCTCCAAGGACCAATACAGAATGCTCCTGAAGGCTTGAAGAAGCCTGTGCAAACATCATAAGACCCAAACCCTTGTCGTTGAGTCGTTACAGAAGCCTTGTGTAGAAAACTTGGAGGTTCATGGGTAGCTATAAGTAGGGTTATAATTAGGCTAGCTATAGTTATAACCTATATTAGGGGGACGTATAACTCCACTTGTAACTACCCATGAACCTCCAAGAAGGCAAGCAGGAACAGCACAAAAGAGACCTTCAAACCCTAAACCCTAAACCCTAAACAAGCAGGAACAGCACCAAAGAGACCTTCAAACAGGAGGCAACCTGTAACACCTCTTCTACGAGGGCTACAACCCCCAAAGCGTTCAAGCCCGGAGGTGCAAAATTCAACCCTAAACCCTAAACCCTAAACCCTAAACCGGCTTGCAGTTGAAGGTTGATAGAGGGCTTAAGGTGGCGGAAGCGAAGGTCCGGAGTTTGGGGGTCTAAGGTGTAGGGTTTTTTCTTTAAGTGCAATGACGCCCCTTTCTCCAAAGCGCGCCTACCCAAATAAGGGCATACAGGCTGTAGAGCTTAGGGTTTAAGCCCTGGCTTAAACCCTAAACCCTAAACCCTAAACCTCTAAACCCTAAACCCTAAACCTCTAAGGTGTAGGGTAGGGTTTGTGAGGGGACTGTGAGAAGCCAGAATCCCCTCTCGTTGAAGGCGGGGCTGTCCATGGCCTCTGCTTGTGTTGAACTCCTCAAGAAAGGGGGGCCCAGAACCCCAAACCCTACATCCACAACAAGTCTATACCCTAAACCCTAAAAACCCTAAACCCTAAACCCTAAACCCTAAACCCTAAAACCCTAAACCCTAAACCCTGAATCCGACGGTTCCCTAGCATTTTCGAGGAGTGAAGGCTTTGAGATATCGCAGTGTGGGCCTCTGTGTTTGCGGAGAGGTGAGTCGGCAGCGTAGTGGGGTTTAAGGCTAGAGGCTTGGGGTCTTTGGTTTAGGGTTTAGGGTCGTGGGTTCAGGGTTGAGAGCTTTGGGCCTTTTGGGTGATTAAACCTAAACCCCAAGACTTAAGCTAGGCCCTAAACCCTCTTTGGGTTTAGGGTGATTAAGGGCTTAGGCAGCCTATCAAACCAAGCTTGGTCTGCAGTGCCGGGCTAATGCTATCTATACAGACAAGCCTGTCACAACCCCAAACCCTTGACGCATGAAACCCTGATAGGAACCCTTAAAGAAACACTAAGCCCTAAATCCGTTAAAGAAACCTCCCTAAACCCGAAACCCTAAACCGTAAACCCTGAAAGAACCCCCTCCCGCCCCCCCCCCCCCAAGGCGGCCCAAGAGCACGAGGCGCTGGTTCAGCCGATCCCTTGGCAAGGCCTGCTAGAGGATTTAGGGTTTAGGGTTTAGGGCTTTAGGTTTAGGGTTTAGGTTTAGGGCTTTAGGGTTTTAGGGTTTAGGGTTTAGGATTTAGGGTGTAGGGTCTAGGGAATTCCTCTACGGGTGTCTTGAAAGGAACCCTTAAAGGAACCATTCAGAGTAACAGAACCGTTAAGGGTACTTTTCAGGCTAACTTTAAGGGTAAGGGTTCCTAAACCCTAAACCCTAAACCCTAAACCCTGAACCCTAAACCCTAAACCCTAAAGCCTAAACCCTAAACCCTAAACCCCAAAATCGGCTTTAAGAGGCTCCTTTCCGGTATAGGCCTTGCCTGTGAGGGTTCCTTGCGGGCTAGGCTGGGAGACCACGACCTCGCTGCCGAGAGCCGGAAAGCAAAGCCTGTTCCGCAGATCTGCCGGGTTTAGGGTTTAGGGTTT